GATGGTTTCCCCTTAGGAAAATTTTTATTACTGTGCAATCTCCATTCATTAGGCAGCTTACTTGCTCAGTCATTAATGCTGCTTGTAATGTTTACAACATGCTCCACATCTACAGCAAACTCTATGAGTTATATATGATGTCTTGCTAAAGCTGTGTCAAAATTTATGATTTTTCCCGTACAGAAACGATACAGCTTGTAGTTTGGAAGCCCTGAATGCAAGTATAGCAAAAAGTTAGGTTCAGCATTATTTAGGAATTGAATACCTTTCTTCAAAATTGTCATAAATCATCTCTTAAGGTACAAAATTTACAGCAGGCGTAATTTGCTACCAAATGAGTGCACTAAAGGGTGCTTTATTAATGTTTCTATAAAATATTGGTGACTATAATACAGCATCGAATATTAATGGGCAAAAAACATACTGACGAAATGGTTATTTTTAATCAGAATTTTTCACACGCTTTCGGCAGTAGGCTCATTTAAGAATCGTCATCCCGCCTTGACTGAGATATTATAGGAGTATTTTGGGATTATGTTGCAGGATAATTAACCCAACAACTCTAATTTATTAGTATGTTCTAACGGAAGACACATAATAGAATTTTGTTTAACATATCAGGAGATATCAAATCTACTGTAAGTAGCATCAACTTCAGCGTATTGTTGCTCTGCTATCTGGCATGAGACCTAATATTAAGGTGTGCGGTTGCTAACCGAGCGATTATGGAAATGATTACTCATCGTACCTTGGGTCTTACACTTTCTTCCCGCCTGTGGTCGTGGCTAGGCCGTAGGACATTATCGATAAAGACAATGGAGACTGAAATGGCCACTTCTGACTCATTAGCCGTCATCAGCCAGCCATACCTAATTCCAGATTTTTAAATACTTGAAGTTTTAATCTGCGCCCTATCAAGTAGAAGCCCCTCTTGTCTTTTTTCGGCAGGGTTCTCCTGTCAGTAATACTAGCCGCTGTGTGGCTGGTGTTGGAACTCGTGAGTGAGCTCCAAAGCACATCGAGACATGTGAGTCACTTAACTGAGCGGTGAGTGCCCATCTAATATTTTTGATATTCTCGACCTAAACCGACAAGCAAATGAGGCCTTGGCTCGGTTAGAGACGGGAATGTGCACATTTGTTTGCTTGTATATGTAAAACAAAGCTCGCACTCAGCCTAAGTAAATCATAACCTTCAAAAAAATATCAGCGAAAATGCAGACTCACCAGTGTAAATAACTCACCTAGAAATCGCGCAAAACCGAAATCGCACAACTTGACTTCACCCTGGGCATTGATTAGTATGTTCTCCGGTTTAATGTCCCTATGAATACACTTCAAAATAAGAGTATCAATAGGCTGACAAATCCCGGATGTCTTACATTCGACTGATGACAAAAGTTTATTCCCTGCAGTATTTGCCATGTGATGTTCATAACTTTATCCCGGTCCATAGTACTAAAAGTGACAAAAATGATAGTATCAAGGCAGTGTATCCAAGCCAGAGAAATAAAATCTAGATAAAAGAGTTATCTACCCTACAGAAACGCATTTTCTTGCAAAAATCTACATCAATGTGCTTGGTAGCATGTCCACCATGAAGGTTAGCAGGAAAGAAAACATGGTTCATTAAGGGAAATTCGGTGACGCTTCAGCACCTCATGGGAGAGACAAACATGGGATTTCATGACAGGTTTAGTAGAAGCAAACAAGCGCACATTTGGCGCTCCCATCCACGTCAAAGTTATGTCCAGTGTAACGCGAATTCAAAGAGCTTCAACAAAAGCTCCAATACACATGAGAGTTAAAGTTTTGTATTAACTTTTGGTTATGAGTTGCGACTCTGGCACTAATTTAAAGATTAAAAATATGACAGGGTTTAGTCGCACAAAAAGCACATACTTCGCGACTGGATTGTCCAGTTCCTGCAGAAGGCTGTAGTCGATGTATTGGAAAACAAGGTGCAATTTCTTCTTCCTTCGGAAAACCTCCAGTAGATTTACAAGATTTGGATGTTTCAGTCTCTTTAAAAAGTAAAAGGTCGGTATTCTTATGAAATCAGTCCAAAATTAAGTGATATGTAGCAAAATACTTTGTTCCAATAATATTGACTTAGAAGAGCTCAAGTGGTGAGATACAACCAGTACTGTCAATTGCAATTTCTCTAGGCTTTCTAGGTGCGCAGTGCGCACTCTTGGATTAGTTCCAGCGTGGTCTTGAGACAGTGAGGTAAATGATGCGCAAACTGAATTAATGAAGCGATGTCCTGCTGCCTAGGTAACTGACGCTATAATTCACTTCTGTCCTTCTAATATGCTTACTATAAACAATGTGGATGCCCCCAGACCACACTAGGAAGATTAGTCACCATAGTCCTATAAAAGCACTACACGGCTTTTTGTGAAATTGTTTTTACATTACACATGTATCATTTGTTTTCGCAAGATCTTATATCTCTCAATTTATTTTTCGCTGAGAAATCTTCACTGTGCGCCATGCGTGAGTAAGGCTTTCTATTCAGAAGAATCTCCTCCTTTATGCTTCATTCAGCCAATTTGGTCCAAATAGGTATCAGTAAATTAAGAACTTAAGGAATGGATGAGGTAGGATGAGAGCAACAACCCCTGGACATGAATGTAGAATATATTGTGATCTCGATAGTGGCAGCCTTTAACTGACGTGTAAAATCGGAAGTAATCAGGGAGGGGTTCGCTTTAGTCCGAACTACTCATATTAGGGGGAAAGGAAGGATTATTTGTCCGTTTGAGGCTTGCTTTGAAAGTAGAGTCCCAAACGCTGGCTACGACTGGCTCGAATACAGATTGATCATATGCTCCCTGCTTTTGATTCTGATCATTCAGAGTGCAGGACGATGGTAGTTTTTGTTATCACGAGGTAAAATCTTATCTTCTGCAAACCAATGATGATAAAACCGTCAGACAAATATTATTTTTTCTTGAAATACCAAGACTACACATTAGAAAAACTCCACTGTAATACCTTAGGTGACGTTAAAAAGTCAAACGATGAAATTTAAAGCAGTTTTGATGTGTATACATAAACACTAATGAAAAGATAAAACGCTATAAGTGAATCCGTAAAAGTGCGGTTTCCGTCCTTTTTAGAACTAAATTCAGAGTGCTCAACTATTATGCAAGAATTCTGACATTGTCGAATTTGAGAATGGTTAAGTCTGTTTCAATCTTTTACATTTCGTTCGGCCCTACCACTACTTTCAGAGCACTCTTAGATGGTAGATTTGGCCAACTGAAGGCCCGATGGGGACGTACCTTCAGCATTTTGATTTCACGGAAGGCGATCTTCTTAACCAAGGGGTCATCATCTGTCGCAGTGAAACGTTTGACTGCCACCATTTGGCCTGTCTTCTGATCCAAGCAGCGGAAGACCACGCCGTAGGCACCCTCGCCAATCTTTGACAGTTTTTCGTAGCGACTGAACAGAAGATGTCCACTGCTTTCCCACAAAAAATGAAAAATTCCTTTACTGTCGTTCTTTTTAAATATATATATATATATAGATATCAAGGGAATTATTGTGGAAAATATTAAGTGCATAACATGGAATTAAGTCACCGGGACATGACCCTACATTTTAATGAACCTTTAAGCGGAAGAAAATCAACTACCATGGAATAACCCCGGAATGCCCATTATACAAACAAGTAGTACTACAAGTATTATGAATTCTATACGGCAATTACCTTATACCGTACTCCCGACGTAGATACTAGCGTTGAGGTGGACGTTTGACCTACTAGAGCATGCCTAGACATATTTTCCTGCGGTTAGTTCATATATTTCTGAAAAATCAGTCCCTTGAATCACCTGGACTGGCATTTGGCGAATAATGATTTCGTCCTCCATGTCTGAACCTTTAAACGATTCGAAAGCGATGAAATGGACAATTATGTTTATCTGTGACAGGAATATTAGTGTTTCAAATGGTAGCCTGTCCAGAAGAAGGATTCAGCACCGAAAAGCGTCCCAGTACAGAAAGTGCACCTCCTCAAATTGAACGCTCAATTTTCAGGCAAGCTGTTGGAACTTCCGCGAGGAATCCCTGTGGTGGTTTTATATTTAAAAACTTAAACGATTTTATACAGCTCTATTACTTTACTTGTAGTACAGTTGTAATTCTCCGTTGCACATCAAAGTCGCATAAAAGCACGCATTTCCAGGACTCTACAGGCATATACCAACCCTCAATACTGCATCATTGTTTTAGGGCACACCCTTAGTTCCTGCTTCTTATCTCTAAGCTGGATTTCTGTTTCAACCTCGACCTAGATGCATAAGTTGGCCTTGGAAAGCCGAGCCATACTTTCCCTAGGCAGTATCTTCCAGGATGCATGTAAACTTTTTCGCCCGATAGACTCGGGCAGCAGGCCAGCAGGATTGTAAAGGGGACTGCACCCCACTTACTGCCTATACCTATTTGAACTGCGTCCGTCCTGGCTGCGTCTCCGATGGCCTTCTCCGAGGTTAGTCACTGGCACTGAAGCATCCGCTTTCTCGAGGTCCTGAGCCTCCCTTGACAATCCAGGCTCCGCTGCTGGAGAGGTACTAGACGACCTTGCACCTGTTTTCTCCTCATCGGCTTCCCGGTCACCGGTACTCTGATTCGTGAGTTGAGATCGGGCAAGGTTAGCAGACGGTTGGCTCGTCTCCATACGCAGGCACTCCCTGACACCGCTTGAGTCCATTTTGCGGTCCTAACAGGAACCCACTGCGAGTGAATAGTGTACGCGACGAACAGTGATCCACAGTCAATGGGTTTATTGCGTCTGAATCTAGTGATAACAGAGAAATTGCATTTTTTCAAAAACTGCCATGAAGAGATGCAGTTGTGTAACATTTCTATAGAGCCAAACTCAAAGGCAGGGATCGTTGCCGTGGTCCCAAGACAGGACAGGAATGACAAAAAGCCACGTAGCGCAGGTGGCTTTGCGCTAAATTCCAGGAGAAATAGTCTTAGGGTAAAGCTTGTGTTTGGGGTTAAAGCTGGAGTGAGTGTTAACTTTGAGGTTGAGGTCAAGACCGAACGTAGTTTAAATAGTGGACATTTTGTAACCTAAGTGTCAGCATTCCATCTTACGGGACTGGTGGTAATGGGGGTTTTGTGGGTGGGTTAAACAGAATCGGCAGTGAAGGAAATTTACAGAAGTAAGTGAAAAGTGGTAAAATTTAGTGGAGTTTGTTTACCGCGGCCGGTATATAGCGATGGATTACAGCGCGTAAATCGAAAAAAAATAGGCGAAAGCAGTATTCAGAGTGGAAAAGTGGTATTTCAGCCAGTCGTAAATTTGTGACAGGTCAGGAACCAGTAGGATTAATTGCTAAAATGCCTATAGTAATTATTAAAGTATATTCCAGTATAAAGCTTCACGACGTCACCGATACCACATTGATTAAAACCACAAAACGAATGTAGTTTATCACTGTACAATTACCTCTACAATTTACCTTCACTGCTTACCAACGCACAAAACACCTTTTATCATTGGTCCCGTAATATAGGTGTATGAGGTATGGGGTATATGAGGTCCACTACTTAAACTATTTTTGCCGGGTTAACGTTTAGCTTAGGGTTAGGACACGAGAATGGATACCCTCCCTGAAATTTAGCGTAAGGTCATCTAGTACCCTGTCCTGCCAAAGAGGGGGACACAGGAACGCTTCCCACCAGAATAAACTTTACTTCGTGCTTTACAAATTGGCGACAGATAGCATGCGACTGTTAGTTCGTCCAACTGCAGATGATACATTCGAAAGAAATCTTCGTAACAGAGATTATACTCTTCTGGTATATAAGGCAAGGCAGGTCTGTGAGTCCTTTTCTTTTTGCTCTGATTTCGAAAGTAGCTCAAACGCCAAAATAGTTCGCCCCTATATTTGTGGTGATAGGCCAATTCTAAAAGGGCCAGATATAAAGCATTTGTCAGGACGATGGCGCAAAAGTATTCGAAACCAACTTATTCACCGACTTTAAACATTTTTTCGGTAGTCACACAATACGGCTTTTTAGGACCAGTTAATTAGCCACTATAACAATTTCTTCCGTGTGTAGAAACGGACTCCTAGGCAATAAACAAGTTTTTGTGTTCCATATGTTCAAAAATCTCCTCCAATAAGTATACTTTCTGGCCTGTCAGACAGTTAAATAGTTGCTAACCGAATGAAAACAGTTTGAGTGTTGTTTCAGGTTATAAAGGAGGGGGAGGGATTGGGGTTGGCATTGCTAACGGGGACCCTCTTGACAGGTCGCCCGGACAGAACGGCCTCTCACATAATACAGATGGTCCTGGGCTAAATCAAAAGAAGGATACATATTCCCGTCAATTAATTCCAGCAATAGTAATAACCCTAAGCGTAGCTCCAATATTATTCCTAATTCCAACCCAAACCTCTATCCTTAATCATGATCAAAAACTTAACGTTAGCCCCACTTTCCTTGGAATATATCACAAACCCACATGATAGTGTCAACTGGGTGCTTAAAACGTAAAGTTACTTAGTAATAGTAGTGAAAAATCGATTCCTGTGTGGTAAATCAGAAGGAAGCAGAGCGTTCACAGCAGACTACACACGTGGAAAAAAAGAGCGGCATATAGCGAGAATCAGATACCAAATAAACCGCTCCCGGTGAACATAAATTTATTTATTTATTATGGGTGATTTCTGTTTCTAGACCTTGCCGGGGGAAGGGCATACGAGCAGTCCCTGCCAGTTTTCGAAAAAAGGCCCGTTATTTATGTGCTTATTATCCTGTAGAATTTGTGAAAAATTGGTGAAGAACAACATATAGTAAAATCTAGAGGTTTTGACTAGAGCATCTATTATTCCAGCGCGCATACTACTAGTAGTAACTAAGTCTCAAATATTAGTAAAATCGTTTTTAAACGAAAAATAGTAGGAACCGTCTCCTTCGATTGATTCACAAACCGTTCTGCGGATCCGTTTTTGCTGCCTCTCAGAAACCAAGTAGTTTAGATGGTAAAACTCATGAAATGTCTTGATTTAGGAAAGAAAATTAAGTGAGAAGAAGACGACTCGATCGCTGGGACAATACCTTTATTCGCTTGGCGTTTCGACATCCGTCGCGGATTCATTATCACAGACATTAGCGGAAAAGGTTAGCAGAAATGAATGTTGCGCGAAATCAGCCTATGCGGCTTCCCCCCAAGTACTTGTAATAAAATTCATATCATTTTGTGTCAAGAACATTTCACGCCTCAAGTCAATTCCATGAACGAAATAAACAACCTCAAATGTATGTTAAATGACCCACTCAAATGTTGGTCTTCACATTTTATCAGATATACAGATATATCAGATATACAATTTACTGTTTTTCTCTGAATATCTTATGTGAGACAGTCATGCAAAAATTCCTAACAGGCCGGTGAGCAGCAAATATTCACTTTCTATGTTTTTAAAGTGTTATCCATCTCCGGCCTGTCTTCCAGGTGTGGACAGTTTACTTTTTTGAAACGTAACAGCCAACCAGGTTACTGAGCTCCTGTTCGAAATGTCTACATAAAGTAAGTCGTAAATGATTGCGATCGAATGAATACGATTTAGTCTAACGACCAAAACAAGTTTCATTGCCGATTACTTATGTGATCCCCTCAAAAGGACACAGGAATACGAGCGCGTGTCCAAGTAATAAAGACGACCTCGCGCATAATTGCATTAAGGCAAATATTTCCTTCTCTTAAGCCTAAATTAAACCTAAACCGTAACCCTATCCCTACGCTAAACCCTAATCATAAGTCTAACCCTATTTTACCTGGAACTTGGCGCAAGGGCGCTTGCTTTGCGGACGTTTTCTATTCCCATGTCCTGTTTAGGAAACCATGTAAGGCATCCTTGCCGAAATTTCTGCAGACATTTACTGTGACCACATAAAAAGCGGAAAGATAGGGTGGTCATCATGTTCACTGCATTTGATGACTACTCCTCAGCCTTTAGTATTATCCTACTCGATGTCCTCCTCAATAAGACGTTTGCATGTGGTTCTCCCAGCTGGGCTGTCTCTTGGCTTAGGAACTGTTTCATTTGCCGCAATCAATTCGTCCAATACAACAAGCAAAAATCCACGGTCCTTCAAGGATATACCTTATCCTCTAAGCTCTTCTTCCGCTACGATTGTCCAATAAATGTAGTTGACCCCAATTGGGAAAAAACTCGCGGCATTCGGCGGGATTCGAACCCGCATAGGAGGGAGGCTTTTTACGCAAGCCAACGCTCTACCTACTTGAGCTACGAATGTCGCGCTTCACAGCGTGAGTTTAACTATACTTGGATCGATCTTACCCGCCCAACTTTGCCGCTCATATGGAATCCACCAATGCATAAACTATGCTCATGTAAGGGTTGTGTGTCATCCTCTCAAAAGTCACACACATCTCCATGTTCTGGAAGATGACTTGGACCACGTCTCAGAATAGTCATTAACCAATGGTCTTCTACTGCATAATAATCAGAAGTCAGTCCAGTATGTTTTCCGACTGCAACAATATCCCAGTCCTGAATCCTTATAAATCCTGTCCAATGGGCTATCCGCTTTTTGGTACCTTGGTGTTACACCGACATCTAATTTTTCGTTTATTCTTCATATTGAAATCCTCCTAACTAAAATTTGTCAACTTTTATATTATACCCATCGGTTACATTCACATCACACACCTCAAGCCCTAATCTGGAAATTTATGGATTCCTGCATTCTCCTCCTCATTATCTACTGATCTGCGTTTATTTTTCCAGCCTCGCTCAAACAACAGTCGTTGATTTTTAAATGTCTGCTGCAAATGCTCTCGTCAACTGCCGGTGTTTCTTGTGCTTTTATGTGATATTATAAGGCAGCAACACTTTACAACGATCCAGCAATTCACTGATCATATTCTTGATGAGGTTGCCCATCCACTTTACTCCAAAATAATGGCTGCAAAGTCTTCCCTATTATGAGCCGAAGTTTCTGACGTATGTTCTTTCGCGCACCGATACATCAGCGTTCTGTAGTCCCACTGCTAGCACGCTAACCTAAGTGTAAAGAAAGGGAAATCCAGAAGCTGAGATTGGACCTGCCTCCAAAACGGATGTGGATTTTATGCAAACCTCTAGTTTTTGTGTACGTTCTTAATTTATTCCGGGGTCTCAGTGAAAGGAGATATTTTTGCTGAAATGTTTGGATGCTACCTTAAAAATAAAGCGTATTTCCTTCTATCTCTCTCTATAGGCCTGCATTCATGGCTCTTAAGTTTCGTAAATTCTTAAGTAGCGTTGATTTTCTATTCTTTTACACAGTCTAAACGTCGACTTACGTTATAGTGAGGTCCGTGAGTTATATCAACGCATGCTTAAAATGTAGACGATATCGGTCCCAAAAAGTGCATCAATCGACTATATACTTCGTAGTAAAACGCAGTCTAATTGATATTTCTGAGAGCTGGGAAAATAAAGTTAGCTCCGCGTTAGACCTAACAACTGTATACGGTTTACACAAGACAAAAAACAGGCACTGACTACTCATACTGTTCGCAAAGTTGCCTTATGATAATCAGCACATTTCCTGAATAGTTCAGTAAGTGTGCATTCATGGGTTAATTATGTCAGAGTGTAGCACTGCGAAGCATTTGTATTGTCAGTAGTATAAATTACTATTCCACATAATGCATCACAATGACTAGAAACTGGCAAGATGTCTGACTTCTTAGAAAACAAGTAAAGCATTTTGAGGGGAAATGTCCAAACACCTTGACCCTATACAATCGTTTTTGACAAAAAAATTAACAAAATTTCAGCCACCACTTTCTACTTAAACAGTATTTTTCAACAGTCATAATCTACTTGGTTGGCAGGAAAAAATGCGCTCCCATTTACTATATAACCTTTTAAACGAACATAAATATCTTTTTAGCAAGTGTCGACATAAATTAATGAAGTAAAGATTCGCACTTACTTAAAACATAAGTATTTCCTCTTTACAGCGACTACTGCGACTGTTGTGGTTGTAGGAGTATACCTGTCAAGTACTGCTTTCACAGACAGAGACAGCGACGTCAGGGCAGTCGATCTAAACAGCTATCCGTGTAATCCCATGCCCCCAGTTGTGGCGAAAGCAAATGAAACTAAGCTCTCAGTCTCTCCAGTTACTGCCCTAGCAGCTGGGCGTTACCTCGTCCGCCGCAGGCAGCATGCTACCATGGCAACAGCCTCCTCACTGGCACGGCAATACTCTTCTGACTGTCCATGCTCAAGATGGGTCCATAGGACAACGAATGCATATCTAGCCTATCCAACGAAAAAGGGGAGGGTCGTTTTTCTCTCTTGATAAACATTGTTCTACGCCCCTCTCTATCCGAGGCCACCTCTGCCTATTCTTCCCTGGCCTCCACGACTTTCGTAAGGTGAGTTCTCGTCACCTTTGCATCTTTTCTCTTTCCATGACTCTTTGTTGTGCCTATTATAACGCTCTATACAAATGTTTTCTGTTGTCAGACCTTGCTCCGAAGGATTTGTGGATGAAAGTAATGATAAAGGTGAATATAATTGGCGTAGTGAAAACGCAGCATACATAAGAAAAAAACAAATTTGTTGCATTAAATTTGGTAATACTAGCGGCAGAAGCAACAGCGGAAGTAGTAGAAGTATCAAGCAAAAAGAGTTGATATATGAGCATCCTGCAACTTTCCTAACTACCTAGTTTCAGAAGCTTTTAGTGTTGAGCACTCTGTTCTTCTGTAGGCCAAGGGCGTTCTCCTAAAAAGGATTACTGTAGGCAAGAGGTGCCCCATGCAATCACCAAAAAGTGCTGTTTTTTTAAACAAGCCAAATTTTTCCTCTTTTAATTATTAGTCTATGCTTTCTCCTTTTACTGTAGGAAACTGGCAACTCTTCTTCCACATAATACATTTAATTCGTTAATCATTCTCCTTACTTCGTAAAACCATCTAGTTTTTAACAATGCACACGTTTTTGGGAAGAAAACTAAGTTTTGTGTAACCTGCCGAAATAAGCGATCGGGAAAAATAACCTTTTCCTTCCTTAACGCCATAGCATTTATTAATGTTTAAGTGAAAGTTTTCACTTCTTTAAAATTTACACACAACATTGCACAACCTCCCTAGCTCGAAATGAAAACTGATAACTGGAGGTCTTCTCATTCCGTGTGTTCACCGATCGCACATGCTACCTCGCGTAGCCAATTAGCGTGCGCTGCAGTATCGAACATGTGTAATCCCTTGTTCATACATTAGGCAGCTCGAACATCCCGTAGAGGATTCTCGCGCGTGAGCCGACCCATCAAAAGCCACCACGCCGTAGGCCGGACGTTTCTGGAACACTCTTTACAATTTGGCACACAATAGGTCGGAATGTTCCAGAATTCACAGGGCATCCGATAAATGAGGCTAGTTTTAGATAAGAAGAAATCTCCGCGTGTTTGTAGTTCGATATTATACTCGTTGTTTTCCGAGTCGCTTTCCTTTCTTTCCCAACTACCCTCCATTCTACACTAGGACGTACAGCACCGGATACCCGCCGGTCAAATAAGTTACCAGGGTGTGGCCACTAGGCCGAGCCTAGCTTCTTGGAGTCATAAATGAGACTTGGGTGGCGGTTAGGGGAAGTCAAGAGCATTCAGCACCTGCATAAGACAAGTGGGGCCACCTATTGCTACCGGCACGCTGACTCCCCAGCTAGACTGCTTCACGCCCTTCCCCCACTCAAAAGCAAGCATATGCTCGTGGAAACGGAAGCGGACGCGTTTTACGTGCTTTTGTCGTTGGCCCCTAGAGTCTTCGAAGTAGAAGGGTTTTTCGTGGTTGGAAACCAATTAGGTGAACCTTTATGACACATGGAGCACGGGCCAACCTCTCGCATTCTCCCTCTCCACTGTAACGGGTATGTAACTGCTGTCTCCAGGGGGAAAATGGCATGAGCAGGATTTGGCCTTCCTTTGCGTCACCGGGTAAGGATAAGGCCTGATGACATCGTCAGGGGGTGATATTGAAGTATGCTGCGTTCTCACGTGCTCTTAGTTGTCGGTGTAGGGAAATGTGATTAGCGCGTCCTTTTGGTGTATGTAGAAGAGTTGGGCGGATATACAAGAGTAATATTCCACGCTACCTATCTAGCGTCAAAGTGTACTTTATGCGACGGCGTAAGTCGTGTCACTAAGAGGCTTCACGGACGTCGTTGCCTGACCCCACTGGTCACCGATCAGACAATAAAAAGACAACACACTGACCTGATAGCGTGTCTTCGTAAAAAGTGTCGGTAGGCAGTATACCAAGCTATGGTTTTTAGTAAACCGACAATGTCACAGGCTCAGATCACACATATAGTAGAGGAGTCACGTGCGGAGGAAGCTGGGGATCTAACTTCCCTCTCAATGAGAGGTGCTGGTTAAAAAAAACGTGGCATGTGATGTTAAGCATGACCTTGTATAAGTTAGGTGCGGGAGGAGGGGCGTAATGTGTTAAAAGCATATAGGCAACGACGTTTTACCACAGACTTTCATAGAGATACATGTGGCCGTTTGGGTATTCATTCGTCATCTATTCGCACCAGGTGGCCGCTCCATCGCAATTCTATTTGCCTTAGCATGGCATGGATGCTGAGGATTCCGGTTTGCTCCAGGACTTCCGTTTTCGGGATCTTATCCTGCGGAGACAGCTGAGATGGCACTGGTTCAGCTTGTTTGGTGTAGACGTTGCAGGTCTCCGCTCCGTACACCAATCCTTGAGGAGTACTGGCTTTTATAACTTCAGTTTTTTGTTCATTTGGAGGCCGTGAGAATTCTATGCGGAGATCCGTTGAGCAATCCTGTTGTCG